AAAATAAAAATACTACTTAAAGAACCCATCTTAGCAGACTGTTTTATTCAATTCTCTGTTCAGTGAAGGGTATGGAATAATTAAGCAGGAAAGATACTTCTACTATAAAGGAAGGACAGGTTACTATTACAATCTAGGCAAGAAAAAAAGTTAACGACAAGTTGGTATTTTCAAGCCAGGATGCTACTCCAGCAATGGACAGTTTATGCTCCACTATATGGAAAAGTTACCTATAGGCATTTCCTATTTTATTTTTATGGCTCATGCAGACATCAGAAGGCCAGCATTTAACTGCTTACCTTGCTGACACCCTATTCTGTACCTTTTCTTATTTCATAGGTAGCACGGAAGGTTGAAACTAAACACATAAGGAACAATTTAAGAGTTTTATTGGAGCTGGTACTGAGATGTACAGACAGACTGCATCGGGTCTTCTTGTGTTAGTACTTTAGCAAAGGCTCAGTATTTTGTCTATAGTGAAGTTTTCAACAATCCTATAACCAAAAGGACATTCATAAAGATATTCTACAGCTAAGATAAATGGCTTAGGATTATTCATAATGCTATCACCATCAATCAATGTGAGAATGAAGTTACTTTTCCTAAAAGTGCCTTATACCAAAAAATATAAAGTGATCTAAAAATATGTTAATACAACAAAAAACTTTGTACTTAATATGCTATGTTGAAGACCACTGTAAAGTCTAAGAAGCAAAACAATTCAAGTACATCAAGATAAGCTCTCTGATACATTAATATAACATGACATTTTTTCTAGTTAAAGTTTTTGGTATTTGTATCTTTATTTAAGTAATACAGCTTAGAATATATGTATATATATATATATATGTGTGTGTGAGTGTGTGTATATATATATATACCTGAAACATATATATATATATATATATATATACCTGAAACATATTGTGAAGTGACAATTTTTTATCATACAACTATATGCTGACCTTGCAATTTTTTAAGAAAACAAGTAGCTGTTTCAGGTATATATCACAAGTCAACTCCTCCATATACTACATTAAATTTAGCATTAAAAGTTCAACTCTAGAACAAAACTTTTTTTTTTTTAAAGATTTATTTATTTGTGCATACAGAACTGGGGTACAGGCCAGAGGCTCAGGGGTAGCGAGAGGCTTCACCAGAGACAGAGAGGGGAACAGAACAGGCAGATCGACGAAGTACACTGCTGAGGGGAGCAGCGGGCGGGTCAGGAGAGGTCTGCCACGCCATGTGGTCACCTCCGGAGCAGGCGGGAATCAAACTCATGGAAATGGCTTTAGCTTCTTAGTGCTGTGCTTTAACCTGCTGCGCCATCAGGGAGGGCCAACAAAACTCTTTTTAAAGTACATAACCCCTAATATAATATTACAACAACTAGATAACTACGACCCAGAGAAAAATCACAAATCAACTGTTTGCACCCACTAGATAACTCTTTTATTGTAGAAAAGGAATCATTAAATAGAGCTACATTCACCTAAGTATATTACAGAAACTAGTATAAAACAGTTTGCAAAGGAACCAATAAAAATGTAAAGAGGTGCTGTATCCAGTTATATTATCTTTTAACTCATGGTGGGAATAAATTTCTCAATGATAAAGCCAGAGAATTTAGCAGCAGTCTTCTGAACATCAGATTACACATTACATTTAATACACATAATAAGAATGAGTCAGACAGGATGCAGAGACAAAACTAAGATGCCTGCAAACAAAAGAAACACTAACATATTTATAAAATAGCAAGTTAAAGGCTAATCAAAAAGATGATATTAAAACATATTAAATAGGCACATAACAGCTACTTGTTTTCTAAAAAAAATGCAAGGTCAGCATATAGTTGTATGATAAAAAATTGTCACTTCACAAACACATTCTCTCAAAATCTTTGCCCCAACACTACTATTTCCAGTGACATTATTTTTAAGGATGGGGCAAATACAACATCCCATCTCTTTTGAAACGATGTTCAAGATAAAAAGTGATATTGAGTAGATAAGTCTACAGTCCTGACAGAGGTTTATTAAAATCCATAGCTTTCTAGAGAAGTAAAAAATTTCTCATCATAAGTGTAAGAAGCAATCTGGAGAAAAATTATCAACTGATCTATAAATGATCAATCTTAAGGAAACAAAGTCTCTACTATTTATTTTGTGGCTGTCAGCATAGTATCATGCATATGCTGTTTAACTATAAACTGCACTCATGGATGAATAAGCACTGTATAAATGTATATTCTTTGTGAATAGAAATGACATACAGATTAGTAAGATGTGTATTTTAAAATGCTTTAAAACAGCAAAAAGTAATGTGCTAAGTACCCATTTAAAGCAGAATCAACCTCTTAAAATTTTATAACAGGAAATATTGAACTCTTTTCTTTTAATTGCTTCAAGAAAAACTTTTAAGTATGTTACTGTTTAGCACTTCCAAGTAGGGGTCTCAATATAGGAGAACAGAGGAGATGAAGGGAGAGAGGGGGAGGGAAGGAAGGAGGGAGGAAAAAGAGCGCACGTGTGCACAGGACTTTAGGATTAAATGCTGCCACCATTTTAAATGTTCATAGCAGCTTAGGCTTTGAAATTCAGTTATGCCTAAGACATGGGATGAAATCAAAAACACAGATTTCCCATGTTATTGTCGGTTTGATGAAGCCAATATAGTCAACTTATTAAGCAGAAGAGGCAAAAGTCAGGTCTCAAATTTTGTTCCTGCTCAAAGCAACAAAACTCTTTTTGCCCTTACACTTTAGTTGTAGTTATTAATCCCTCTTCCCAAAGGAGCTAAGGAAAGTGAGATAAATGGGCATCTTGGGTTATCAAAACTGGATTAAACCTACCTGAGAGTAAGGTCACCCTTACCAACCATGCACACCAGAAGAATAGAAACCATTTATGTCTTTAAACTCCCAGTACCTTGGACAGATTAAACCCTCAATACATACTTTTAGAATGAAACAATCTGCTTTACTCATCTCATACATACATGGAAAAGAACAGAGAAACATGAAGGTCACTTTGCAATAGAATCTAGGTCTACTGATGCTCAGGTCTGTGCCCTTACTTCCTATATGTGAAAAAGAGAAGCCAGGAGATGACAAAATTTATGCAGCATCACTGAGCTGTCTCAATCTTCATGCCATAAACATCAGTTCTGATTTCAGAACTAGTACTTATCTATACCAAGCCAGGATGATGAATCTGGAGTCCCTGTCCTCCTACATCGTATTTTAGGGCTTGATTGATTGCTGCTCAAAGGCTGGTGTTTCATTACTACTAAAACTCAAGTGTTCATTAAGGAAGTCAGTCAGCCTTTAGCAAGGGCTCAACTGTGTGCTTGATACTGCGCTACGTGTGAGAAACACACAACTGAATAAAACATGCCTGTCCTTGAAAAGATCATAGACTAGTGTTTGAAGCAAATGTTGAGCAAAATTATTTCCGTGATGAAGTATAATTATGGGGCTATGGGAACAGAAGGTGCAAGATCTACTTCTGAAGACAAAGCAGCTGAGGTGACCTCAGTTGTAAAGGATATATCTACCAATCTTTTTAATTGCCATATTTAACTACTTAATTGCCATACTTAAACTATTCCTACAACGTTGTTATTGATAGGTTAGGCTTCATGGCTAGTATTTTTTAATTTGTTCTGTCTGTCTTCTCTTTTTCCTGCCTCTCCATATTATACTTGAATGTGATTTACAATTCCACGTGGGACAGTCATATGCACACAGGGCAAAGCAGTGGCCATCTGCCAGTGAAAGAAAGACATTCAGAAGCAGCTGACCCTGTCAGCATGTTGATCTTAAGGTTTCCAACTTCCTGGACTGGGAGAAAGTAAGTTTCCAGTGTATAAGCTGCCCAGGGTATTATTTTGTTAAGGCAGCCCTAACAAACTAATGTCCCTTTACTACCCCATTTCTAGTGTAACTGTCTCAGGTACTTGCTATATATACACTTAGAACCACATCAGACAGTGTTATAATTTTTGCTTAATTTAGCATAATTTAGAAAACCCAAAAGGGCAATCTATGGCATTTACCCATAATTTTTTTATGTTTTATTTTCTTCCTAGTGTTCCAAGTTTCCTTTTTTTTTTTTTAAAGCTTTATGTATTTATGCATACTAGAAGTAGGTAAAAGCCACAAGTGTGGGGGGGTGAGACAGAGTAGAATAGGCAGATCAACTTAAATACATTGGTGAGGGGAGA